AAAAACTGATGTATGGTTCTTGAGATATCAGTGGAACAGACGCACACACATACAGACACACTAACTGCAAAGACTCCCTTTTTGTGCTTCGCACACGGGAGTCAAAAACACGCACATTGCTTAGCAGCAAACATTCAACAGCAGTGCAATCTGGTCATGCTGTTTCACAGGCAAATAAATTGCTTTGTTTTTGAGGTGTTACAAATATTGATAATTACTCAGTTTTGAATATAATAAAGTTCCAAAAATCAATTTGTTGATTTTTTATATATTGTAAGTAAAATTCAACTTCAATTCAAAATTCAGTTTCATCACAAATAAATAATTTCAGTCGCACACAAACACTTGATGCAGAACGATATCTTCCATGTTTTCTTTTAATGCATCAGTTGACATAATACTGGTTCCTTTGACCTGATACATGTAGGTCAAGCTGGTTATTACCCAATCAGAATGCTCGGTGGTTCAGCTATCTGGATAGTTTTTGAAAAATAAACTGAGCATTGAAACACTTTTCACAGTGATAACAGCTCATTGTCAAATTAAGTTTACCCAATCACACTAGTCACAAAAACATAAATTTGATTCTAATTTAGGCACCAGGAGAAGACTAAAATATTTCAAATTGAAACATAAATTAGAATACCTAATATTTCTTATATCTGTACATCTACCGTACATCCCAGTGGGGAATTAAAGTAAGTGTCAATTATGGTCCAACTAAACAGCCTTTTCTGAGATGTGTTGTATTCAAGAAATGACATACAGTATTCGCTCTATTAAAAGCACATCTCTAATAAAAGAGAGCATATAAACCAAAAATCATTAGAATATTACTTATTTTGACCATAGAAGCACCTAGAGCAAATGGGTACAGCACTCACCTATCCAAGTTTAATCTATCAGGATTGGCTCCTCGTTCCTCGGGTGTTCTATAGACTATAGGCACTCCTGGTACTGATGGACTCTCGGCAAATATGACTCTATCACCTAGGAAACCAGCATAAGCATTTGACTATCACTTGAGTGTAACTGGATAAATTTTCAGGCAAGTATATTTTAATAAGATGTTGGAAGAATACAAGTCCATAATCTGTCAATCCCTTTGACTGCACATAGCACTGTGAAGTATCATTGTCTGTAATTAGTATTTTTTGAGTATCAATAATCATAGATTGAGGTACAAAATACAATGTATTATAATGAATTATATAATATCAAAGAATCTGATAATCTAAATATGCAGACAAGCTGTCAATGTTTGAATCACTGCCTGCCCTGCCCTGGCATGGATGATTTTGAAAACTGGTTATCTTTCAGCAGGACTTGCAAATAAACAATTTAGAGGAATTTGTAACAATTGAAAGTGCCATGGTTTAATAATCCTATTGTTATAAAGGACCAATATATTTAAAAAATAAGTAACATTTAGTTAACACAATTACCAGTAAATGTATTATATTAAATTAATATTTTTGTGATTTAGAAAGACTTGTATGCTTCCTACATTGCTGTGCCTCTTCTTAGTACAGACAACTTACCACAAACCAGAGAATCACCATTTATCATATTATTAGAGGTACATGATGCAGAATTTAAATAACTAGGAAGCCATTAAGTTTGTGACAGGAAATCAGGACTTAAAGTTTGAGTCACAGCTCACTGTGTTCAATGCCAGACTGTTTTACAGGAATACAAAGAAATGATAAATTTTATGTGCAAATACAAATTTCAGTTCATAAAAATTATGTTTAATTTGTGTTTTATAATATATATATATATATATATATATATATATATATATATATATATATATATATATATATATAGTATCATACTGAATAAATTTTCATTGAAATATTTAAATATTGTTATAATTTGTCTGTTGAAGTCAAAGCACAGCTAAGAAAAGAATGTACTGTATATCACTTTATCAATAGTCAGTTTTGCTGGTAGTGGGATGGGTCATCTAAATGAACAACCAATATTTCACCCAATACTTTATATGCCCAAAGAATTCAGTAAAAAATATTCCACACAAAAACAAATAATTGTTTCAAGATCAATTCCAATGAAATAAAGTGATATCACAGTAACATACAGAGACTGTCTCATACTGGGTGGATAATAATACACATGTTTAACCATCCTGGATGAGTCAGCCCATCATAACTGACATTCAACAGTAATCAACTGATGCAATGAGCATAAGAAGTTAGAACTTGTGTGTTCAGACATGAGTAAGGCAAGTTTTGAAAGCAATGGTATGTCTAGGAATGATGCAGACAGGTGCCTATCGAGAGCTAAATATGCCTTTCGGGATAAAGAAACAGTTCAAGGACCATAGTAGCTGGACATAGGTACTAGTACTATATTCTACAGTGAGGAAGAGGTATAAAGATGTGGAATACTTTATAACACAGAGCACAGTGGAGGGGGAGGCCTTAATTATTTCATGTAGCATGAGGGAACACGTATTCCTATACAGGAAATTTGTAGGCATTAAATATTAAGTGAAAATGTCCTCCCCAAAATCACTATTGAACAAATTCTACTTTAACTTAGCTTAATAATATTGATTCAATTTTAAAGACAGTACAATGTTTTCTCATGACCATGGGTATGATGACTACAGAAACATTGTCAGACTAGAAATCACTCTTTACATAAAGAAAAAAGAATTCCACTGACTCAAGGGTCTGAGATGGGAGGTCTCACACTGGCTTAGGCAATTTGTTCATACCTGACTGACAAAAGTAGCCCAACTTGAGTGAGACACCACATCTGAGGACCCAAATTTATTGACTTTATGATAATATACATCTTTGTATATTTTGTACACAATGCTATTAGGTGACTGAAAGATTATTTTTGTGAATTCTTCATAGATTATACATAAACTGGGTAGGTGTAGCAGCCAAACGAATACTAATGACAATAATACAGCAAAGAGTTTACTGGGGTAGCATTGTTACTACGGATGATATCTACACACATTGTGTGATGGCTGCAAGAACCTGTAAGGGGCATTGCATCATTTGATATGTCTACTCTGGTCACAAGATTGCAAAACACTAATACTTATCACTATGCAAGTATTAAAAGTTAATCTATTTATCACTGAAACACAGAGTAGCTACAGGAAAAATATTGTATTACAGAAACAAACATCTTGGAATCTGACAATAAATTAAGGTGAAAAAACACACACCATACAATAATACAATTGTGTCACATCATAAATAAAATGAAAGTGTATCAGCATGTTTGGAAAAATAAGCACTTCAGTGGATTTAAGTAATACTTGATACACTGGGTAATAAATGCAACATGCACTTGTTTGAGTCAAAACACAACATCCAAAATAAGAGGTACTGGTAAGTATATAGTGTTAACATGTATACAGGACAACCAACAAGAGAAATAGAAAAAGGCTGAAAAGAAGACAGGCACACCTGTTGCCATGCATTTCATGCAAGGAGAAGGAATTAAAAAGTAGCACCAATGATGACGGCATAAGATGAAAGTGCATAAACCATGGTAAAAAGGAGAAGACAAAAATGTCTAATGATGGAAATATGTTTGACTGCAAAACATCAATCAGGTACATGTTTACAACTCGCTAAGTACTAAAAGCTTGCCACAACAAAAATATCTCACTGTTCAGGAGAAAATCAGCTGATCAAAAATTTTCTAATAACAGCAAGATGATATGAAGAAGAGAGAGAAGTTTGATGGTGATACCTGCTTTGGCATTGGGATGGTTGGTAATAACAATAGTACAGGTAGGTGGCTCCTCAATACCTATCATATAAAACAGTGGACATATATACATATATGGTCAGAGATCAAGATTACGAATTACTGGGAAAGTGACGAGGCAAAGAAGTAAAAAATAGCTCTCACTGGATAAATACAATACAATGATGTAATTTTTTTTACTTACGAGTTTGTTGCCACCAAGGTATGGTATGAATTAAAATTTTGAATTCTTTATTTTTCTGTTGTGGATATGCTTTAATTTAGATTAGTGATATGACTACTTGCTAAGTTGCACACCCTCCAAATTTTTGAAATCATGCCAGTTTCAGGTCAAGAGGAGATTCGTTCAGAAATATATAATTAAATCAGGGAAATATAAGTTAATAAGTTCTCATTTTGTTAATTTGAAAGTATTCTCAAACTCTAATTTCAATGAAAGTCACTGTGATTTTAACTACTGCTAAATTTTATGATTCTTACACAAGATGATTTGAGCAAAAGTAAATATCAGTATTAGTAGTCTGTATATTATGTAATATGGTATAAAAAATAAACCAAGCAGCCGCTTGACTGAGATAGCTTCTCTGTTAGCATTGCACATTTCAATCAGAGAATTGAAGATATCACCACAAAATGAACAAATCCCGTAGCCATATGCGGTTTTTAAAAAGAAGTCGAAAAAATCACTTTTTACCAAAAATCTTCTTAAACATTAGAGAATGTAAGATATCATCCCAAAATTTACATATTTAAGAGAGGTCTACCCAAGGTACATATACACCAAATATTAAAGCAATCTGACTTGTAGTTTTCAAAAAGAAGTCAAAAAAATAAAAAGTTGATGCAGATGCTGACGAACACCGGACAATCACTCATACATGTATGATAAGCTCTGACAAAGTCAACAGCAAAGCTAAAAAGTAAATGAAATGGACTAGTACATGTTTATCTTTAAAAACATGTAGATGGTCTAACATAGCAAATAGTCATTTCCAACAGTTTCAAACTCATGTTATATATTATATTCTAAAATGAATTTTCCTTTGGCTCTTTGAATCTTGATCTCTCACAGGTGTATTGTTGAGTTAGTTGTAAACATGCAAGTACAATGGTGCGTGCGATTCCAAAAAAAAAATCTAACACTCAGCTATAAAGTGATTCCAATAAAACTCTTTGTATAGTCACAATTGCTA